CTACTCCCTCTTTAAGCTTGCAGTTCACTAACCTCTCCCCACTCTCAATTTTTTTTTCAGGTTTGCCCAGCCATATTTTGCCCATTTTGTACTTGTATGAGTGATTTTGTGACTCCAAAGATGAGATTTTATATTTATGTCCATTCGATTTCATTTTCTCCATCACTTTCCCTCTAATATAATGCTTAAGAGAGCAATAAATGGCAATGAAAAACAAGTGTCAATTGAAAAATAAGGATAGATAAGTACCATAGGAGCTCAGAAGAGAAAGATGACCTTGGGCTAGAGTAGTCAGGGAAGACTCCATGGAAGAGGTGATTCTTTCGGTCATTTCTGTCAAATGTTATTTCTATTCGTGAAACACCTCTCACACACATCTCTTCTTTCCCACTCTCACAACCATTCCCCTAGTCTAGGTTCTCATCACCTCTAAATTGGACTAGTATAATCCCTCCTTTTGGTCTCCCTGCCTCGAGTGTCTTTCCCATCCAGTCTATTTACCATCTAGTTTCTAAAATGAGGTTCCTAAAGTTTAAGTCTGATTATGTCATGCTCTCTACCCACTTCAACAAACTCCCATGGTTTTTTATCACCTCTAGGATCAAATAAGAACTTCTGTTTGACATTTAAAGCTCCTCACAACCCAACACCTTCCTACCTATATCACAGAACATGAGAGATAGAAAGGATCTGGGAGATCCCAAGTCCAAGTGAACCCCTTTAGTCCAAGGTGAAATGACTGGTCATTGACTTTTCCATTCTTCCACATTTGCTTCTTCATCCTCAACTCACAACCCACATGTCTAATGTGCAGTTTGGGTTTTCTAATAAGTGACAGAGGCCTGAGTGGTAGAGACCTTTCTGCCCCTAAAGCAGTTTGCATCCCTGCTTTAAATGAAGACTATAGCTAAATTTAATAAAAGGTTGAAAAATATTTAGCTCTCTCCAATCGGAGAGAGGATTATTAACTACAGCACCCTCCAGTGGATGGCGGAGGTAATAATTGAAAAAAAAAAACACTAGCTGGCAGAACTGTGATACTCCTATTGGGGAAGGGGTTTACTAACCATGGAAGTTTGAGAGAATGCTAGACAAAGTATTAGGTGGTTCTGAAGATAGCTGGATAGCTGAAGACTAGCTTGGGGATCAGTCGAGGGGCAACACCCAGCAATGAACAAGCTTACAAAAAACAGCTCAAAGACATCACCAGGATACATCAAGAGATTTTCAGCATCAGAACCATGAATTACCCCTCCATGTGTGTACTCTGGCTTTCATGTTCTCTGCATGTGTGCCTTTTCATGCAGATGCCCCAGTTATGTGTTACCTAATTGAGAGTGCCCCATGTGAGGTCCTTATGCATGTTCACTCTTCCCACTAAGCGTGTGTATATTTAGTTGAGAATAAATTCTAAGTTTATGAGAGGAATGTTCTGTTCCCACTTTTATTCATATGTCATTTTATTACATGACTTTGCTTTGAAGTCTGTGTCTTTTGACTGTGTACATACTGATGGGATTTCATACACTATATTTTTGACAAGATTCTGACTTATAAGAAACATGGTAGATTGCTGGTTACTTTCCTTCTTTCCCTCCTTATTCTCCTTCCACCAGTAATGATGACAATGGTACTAGAGCCAAGGTACTGAAGTCAGTGGTTTCCTGAGTGAGAAGTGTCATTTTCGTCATGTGTTCAGGTGATGTATAGTGATCATTTCCCACCTCCTCCTCTTCCTAAATTCTAGGAACATCTCTTTCTCTCTGTCTGTCTCTCTCTGTCTCTGTCTGTCTGTCTCTCTCTGTCTCTGTCTCTCTGTTTCTCTCTCTCTGTCTCTCTCTTTCTCTCTCTCTCTGTTTCTGTCTCCCTCTCCTTCTCTCCTTTAGGGTCAGTATTAGTTCTAATAAAACTTCATCAAAATAGGGAACAACTGCTTCCCAATTCTGTTTTCTCTGAGAGGTGAAGGAAGTTTTGATGAAAGAACAAGTTGAGGCCTGAGAACCTGGAGTCTTTCATCTGCGAAGTATCTCAGGGCCTCAGTTTTCCTATTTGTAAAATGGGGCTTATTGCCTTTGTTGGTTTTTGGTATTGTGTAAATGAGAGCAAAGTCAAAGATTCAGTCCCAATAAGGACTCTATTTTTTCTTCTATCTTCCATGGCTGCAGTTTCCCTGACCAATCCAAAGGAATCCATTAGTTTCAAAGGAGACTGGTAAGAGAGAAGAGATTGCTCAGGTCAAACTCTTCCCCACCATTAGAAAAACCAACCCAGAACATGTCCTGCTGATGGTAGATGAGAAGTGTCATCTGCATTAAGTGGCGGTGTGGCAAGTAGAAAGAACACTGGATTTGTAATCAGAAGACCTGGGTTCAAATCCCAGTTATGAATTTGGGCAAGTCACTTCAAAGCTTTATTCATCTGTAAAATTAGGGAGTTGAATTAGACGGCCTTAAAAATCAAACCCACTTTCAGGCTTAAAAAGAGTTCTCTGTTCTGAGGTTTTAGTTGCAAGAATTGATAACACTGACTTAGAACCATCTCTTCACTACTTCCACATTTCTCAGTGATGGTCCAGGATCCTGATATCCCAAGATAGCAGTAGCCCTTGGACACATTCTGCCTTTGACTTTTGTGAACACATTACACCATAATTTTGGGGCTTCACCTCTTTCTCACTTCCCTACATATATTTATGTTTCAACATTTTACTCTACATTTCTCATCCTCATGTTCACCAGATGAGCATCATTTATCACCTTTGTTGCCACCAGGGGGAAACTGAAGGAGAGGAATAACTTTCTGGGAACTGAGAACAGAAGGTAACACAGATTGATGGAGCTAGAGAAAAGTCAGTGCCAGCTGCATTTAATACAACTACAATTCCATGTTAAAATCAAATGCAAGAACCATGGAATTCAACAGGGACCCACAGAGATCATCTGATCTATCCTTCTACCCCTAAGACAGGTAAATGTATAAGCTGCCCCAGACAGATGGTAGTCTGGACTCAAGTTATTTTCTTTCTTCTGCTAGAATCTATTTTCAAGTGGGCTGACAATGCTCTCGACTACATGGTGTGGAGGGTGGGGAGAGACTGTCTTTGTACAATAAATTTTTTGAAAGCTGAACAGATAATATCCAGGGTGAGAGTACTTGTCGATAGGCTTAAAACATTATCAGCCCTGAGAACATTTTTATTGACTTGTTAAATGTTCTCACTGTCTCTTATTATCCTACAAGAATAACTTGACAGTTTTATTCAACAAATATTTATTCACCACCTGCTATGTGAAAGATAATCATCTTAAGTATTGGACATATGAAGACAAAAGCATAAATGGTACTTGCCCCAAGGGATCTTATACTCTACTGAGAGATACAATAGGTAAATAGAGAAGCAAACACGACAATTTGAGGTGTGATCAAGTAATGGCAGTGAGGCAAATCAGGAAAAGTTTCATGCAGGAGTGGCTACCTGAGCAGAGCCTTCAAGGAAGACAGGAATTCTAAAAGGTGAAGAAGATGAGGTGGGAGTATATCCAAGGCATGGTTGACAGTCTGTACAAAGACATGGAAACAAGAGATAAAATGTCAAATTCAGAGACTGAGAAGTAGGATGCCATGATTGGAAACTATTATAGAGTCCATTAAACTCTAAGATGGGGAGTTTGTATTTTATAATAAGAGAAAACAGGGAACCATTGAAAATTTTTGAGCAGGAAGGCATCATGGTCAGAGTTGTGCCTAATTTTGGGAGCTAGGTGGATGATAGATTGGAAAAGGAACAGACTAGAAGCAGGAGGGTTAGTAAATTTAAATAGTGCTAGCAAGATAAGATGAAGAGGCAGAGCTCTAATGCCAGTGCTCTTTAGTTCAGGTTTGATGTTAGGCTGAAATAAGGCACTCTGAAATCATTGAATATTTAGCAATTTTTTTTGACTAGGTAAAGAGGCCCTTCTTTGCCTCATTTCTTATTTAACCTTAATCACTGAATGGGTGCTGCCTCAGTCAAACTGAGACTTGTTAAAGACCTTAGCTTAAAAAGGCCAAGGTCCCCCATTGCATCCTGGGTCCATCTCCAGTTGTCCTGATCTATATCTTGCCACTGGATCCAGATGGCTCTGGATAAGATAGTGAGGCTGGTGACTTTGTACAGCCCTCCCTCACTTAAATCCAATTCACTTGCAAGTCATATCACCTTCCTGATGTCATGGCATCACCTCCCTGATATCATGGTCCTCTTTGAGAATGAAGGACAAACAATAGCACAGAAAGGACATGCAACCAGGATACAGTGGTGCTTAGCTTACCTGGACAGGACCATTTTGATAGGGAAATGAATCTGGTCAGAAGAGTAGAGTAAAGTGATTTGTGTGGGCTTCAGAAATCTGCCAGGTCCTAGGAACCTACACTCCTAATGTCTGGAACTTTAGAGTGCCCTTATATGACTTGGAAGCTGTGTCAGGGAGGCTAGGGTCAATTTATTCTCATGAGTCCTCTACCTACCCCATTTTGGAGAGGGGCAGGGAAGGAAGTTGCATCAGGGAAGCTGGGGCCAATCACTTCAGCCAGTTAGGTCCTTGGGACAGCTTTGTCTTCTTTTAGGTAAAGTCTCCCCTCGTTGAGGGTGGGAGGAAAGAAGCTTTGTCAGGGAACTGCTCTTGTCACAGTCAATGTTAGGGTAGTTGTAGGGTAAATGAAGAAAAGGGAGATAAGGAGATATTGTGAGGGTCAAGTTGACAAGCCTTGGCAATCTACTGGGTACAGGAGATAAGAGAAAGGAAAGAGTCAAGGCTGACTCTGAGGTCACAGGTTTGGGTCACTTAGAGGATTGGTGGTACCTTTACAGAAATAGGGAAGTCCAGAGGAAGGGTAGGTTTTTAGGAGGGAGTTGTGTTCTGTTTAAGACATGTTGAGTTTATAGTGCTTCTGGGATATCCAGGTAAAGATGTCCAGCAAACAGTTAGTGATGTGGGACTGGAATAACAGTAATTATGTATTCAAAAGGTCAACAAATATTTTTTGGCCATTTACTGTGCACAGTGCACTGTTCTAAGCATTGAGGAAGCAGACATAGAGGTAGAATTTTAAAAATTAAAATAAATTAGCATAAAACACTTCCCTGTAACAAAAAAAAAATCAGTTAAGCAAACCAAACAACACAGTGATATTTTCTGAGAGCATATATAGCATTCCATTTTATCCATAGCTCTCCACATCATTATCAAGAGGAAAAAAGCATCTGTTTTCCAGGGCCAATATTAGTCATCACAGTTTATATGAGTTGGGCTGCCTTTCAATCATAGGCATGTAGAGCAAATTTCCTTAGAGTGTGTATCCAGGGAATTGAATTTTATTTTATTTTTTTAAGGTGAATGTTTCTTGAATACTTATCAATGAAGGACATTTTATACATCAACTTGATTAAGGAAACAAAAATGACTAAATTGAAAAACACTAAACTTTAAAAATGAGACAAAATACCTAATTATTTAAGACAATAGTATAGGCCTGGACATTTCCAGCATATTCTGGATACTCACCTGTGTTTTTAGCATTATTTTTGTTTACCTCTTGTAGTCACTGCTCAACAAACATTTATTAAATACCTACTGTGTAGAGTTTAGTGCAAGGTGCTGGAGGAGATGCAGTTTGGAAAAGATATGATTCCTGGCCTCATGGAACTTGCAATCAAGTTAGAAGAATCCTAGAGATCATTCTAATACAAGGGTTCTTCATCTTTTTATTTGGTGTCCTGTGCTCTTTTTGCAGTCTGGTGAAGCCTATGGATCCCCTTTTGACTAATGTTTTCAATACATAAAATATAATACATAGGACTGCGAAGGAATTATATTGAAATGCAATCATCACAACATTTTTTAAAAGTTCACAGGTCCTCTTCCTCGTCAAGGTTAAGAATCCCAAAACATGACCATTTTGCAGATGATGAAACTGAGACTCAAGAAAAATGAAGTCACTTGCCTAAGATGATCTAGCTAGTTAGGTGAAGACTCATGGCTAGAACCCAGGTGTCTTGTATCTGAATCTAGTGTTCATTCCACTGCATGGCACTGCAAACAAATCTAGGATATTGTCCCTTGACCTCAAACTGAAAATAGACTAGTTAGGGAGATACGATATGATAGTCTCAGAATTTGGTTCCAGCAGCAATATTTGAAAACTTTTATGACAATTCTTGTCTAAAAGTCGAGTAATTACTAGTTTTTGTAGCTGGCTGTCTGTTTCCCAGTGTGTAGATAATCTATGCCTATTTTCTTCTCTTGCTCACTTTTGGGCTATGGCCTAGCTCATTTCCATCTCTACCTAAAGATGATTGTGGACAGACAGAGAAGATATAACTAATAGGTCTGATTTTGTTGGAAAGGAGGTGAAAATTTAATTCTTCTGTCAATGGAGTTTGGGGGATCATATGGGTATTTTAATCTATATCATTAATATATGGGTATTTTAATCTATATCATTAATACTTACATCCATTTTTTTTCTTTTGCCTTAGTAATCAGAGTGACTACTCCACAGAAGATTGCAGGAAAAGATGGGAAGTGAAACTATTTTTCATGCTACAACCCTTCCCCTCAATTTTGTGGTTTTGTGGACCAACTACTCATGAACCTCCAATTCCTCTCTTCTGAAAATTTCCTAATACTGGAGTTTCCTTATCTTGCCTATGGCCACCAACACAACTCATTATGCATTTTGAATCCCTTCCCCAGAAATAGGTTCTGCATTGAAGTATGAAATATGCTGGTTGGCTTGGCCAAGACAAGGAAATTACAGTAAAATTGAAAAAAAAAACACATGAAATTTGTTTTTGGGGCTTCTCTGTCATCCTATTTATCTCCTCATCTCTTTTCTCTAGGGGTCATTTTTGCAGGGCAAAATTTTGCAGGACATTTTGCAGGATACTCTGGACAGATGTCTTCCCTTCCCTAGTAAGAAACTCAAAATGTACTTGTCCAATGACAGTAAGTATTGAATTGATTCTGAGACAGATAAAAAGAAGTGTTAGCCATGAGTTCCTGTCCCTGAGTAGTTTAAAGCATGGTTGGGAACATAAGATATGTGCCCATGGAAAGTTCACAAGACCTCAGAGTTTGAAGGGACCTCAGTGGCCATTTAATGTAACCTGTATCTGAACGAGTCCCATTGTACAACATACCCAAGAGGTGACTGACCATCCAGTCTCTGCTTGAAGACTTCCAGGGAGTGAGAACCCACCCCCACCCACAGTTGGTCAACTTTAATTGTCAGACAGATTTCCCTAACATCCAGCCTAATTTTGCTGCTGCAACTTCTACCTGATGCTCATAATTCCACTCCCTGAGGACAAGCAGGATAAGAGTAGGGGAAACAGCCTGCTATAGTGGAAAGAATGCAGGATATGGAGTCAGAAGACCTGGGTTTGAATTCTAGCCAGTTGCCTGCTGTGTGAACTTGGGCACATTTCTTAATCTCTGTAGGCCTCAGTTTCCTCATCTCTAAAATGAGAAGGTTGAACTGGATGGCTATAGAGGTCCCTTTCAGTTCTAAACCTGTGATTCTGTACCTAGTGCTTCCTCCAAATGGTGGTCCTTATAATGCCCTCCTTAAACTTCCTCTTTGCTAAGCAAAACATTGCCAGTTCCTTCAGCTGATCAGCATGCAGCATGAAGTCCTTCCTGATGGTGGTCATCTTCCTCTGGATATTCTTCAGCTTCTCAGTAGCCTCCCTAACCTGTATTAACTAGGCCTCAATACAATACTCCAACTGTGGTCTGATCAGGGCAGAGTACTGCCCTGGGGATACAGATACAGAATAAAACAGATATAGAGTACTCCTAGTCCTGGATGCTAGGCTTCCCTTAATGTAACTTGTGACCACTTTGGTTTTTGTAGTTGCCATATCACACTACTCCCTCTTTAAGCTTGCAGTTCACTAACCT